ATGATCCAACAATTCAATTTTTCATAATTAACAAGCTACATGATAGATTATACAATTCTTGCCAATTCATGATAATTCTGTGCATGCATGAACATATCAACTTCAAGTCAAGCTCTAGATGATCATCTAACTTGAATTCACAAAATTACAACCTCAAACTTAGGAAATCATAACCAATTACTCACCTAGAAGCTTAAATCTTCCAAATTATGGTTAATTCTTGAGTTTATCTTCAAGATTCTCAAGCCTCTTGATCAAACCTTCAATTTGTGATCCCACTCTCTCTCTAAGTTTGGTTCTCTCTCTCTCTAGAGAGCAAAATCTGATTTGAGCTCAAAGTAATGAATATAAGTGTATATTGGCCCCTTTTATACAAGCTCTCTTAATCACAATTATTAATACTAATTAATTAAGCACTGTTACATCAATTTAATCTATTTAATTTGATCCGAATCAATTTTCAATTAAATTTCACCACAGACTCTAAAATTTACGCTAATCACAATGGCACAGCCAATTTCGGTTTCTGTGGCCGATAAGGCTTTAAATTTTCTGTTCATAACAAAAAGTTGAACAGATATTTCTACGGTGAACAGATAGAAATTCAAAACCTCATATATTCATATAAATGGCACTCATAATCATATCAAACACATAATCACATTCGTAATTAAGATTAATTAGCATAATACGGAGCATGGTTATCACAACAACAGATATAAAACCATTTTCATTTTAAACTATATCTATTACATGAATACATGTTCTATGAATCTCTAGGTGAGTGTCTGCAAGTAGGCCCTAATACACTACCAGTGTCATTTTTATCAGTAAACTAGAAGGCTCGACACCTAACTGTGCGGTTCCACACCCCTACCCAGATTTACCAAGTATTCATCTTTTCGTAAATAGATACATTTTCAAATATTTCTAAAAAATATAGATACATTTCCAATGAAATGAATGTAATGCAATGTCCAATACAACAAATGAGGAATGTGGTTCAATTTACCTAAGTCTCATGCATTTCTCCAATAATCATGGATATCCTCCACCGATTGCCCAGAACAAATATTTCTAGACAGATATTTAAACAATTAAATTCCAAAAATTCTGATAAATACAACCCATTCCACATCTCATCAAATATGAACAACTACACTAGTTTTTATATCACAATTACGTCCAGTAACCTCTCAAGATCCATTTCTAATCGTATCGGTTTTATTCCAACAGATACATTAAGCAAAATAATACCGTTAATGCCCAAGAAAACATCATTTTCTTTCCAAACTCATTCTCCAAGCATTATTCAACTATGACATCCTATTTTGATCAAAAGCCCCGAAAAATTAAACATAATTCCTTTGTTTTCTTTAAAGGTGCTCTTTTGGTCTCAAACCGGTAAAAATTTCAAAACTAATCGAATCGAAGTCTGTTTTTGTTCAAATTTAAAACATAGATCTTTCATAACCTCACAAACATATTCCAAGTTTACACTTTCACAATTTGGGCATCAACTCTTTTTCTTTTTCTCAAAATTTCCCTTTCAAGCAAATAAATCACAAATTTTCCAAAATTTCTAATTAAATTATATACAACTCTAAGATCCATATAATCAAGTAAAAGTGCATAAAGAAGTGTAGGAAAAATCCCTACCCAGATTCAAGAGCTTTCAAGAAAATAAAAATTTCTAGCGACAAAAATTCGATTCATTCAGATTAAATCGGAGCCCTTGGAGCCCTCTACAATTTGATCTATGGAACTAGGGTCTAAAACCCAAAAGGTTTTGATGAATCAAGGATTTTATATAATATAAATAACCAAAGAAAAAATTTCAGAGGGAGAGATTTATTTCTGTTGCAAGACAATAACTTATATTCAGAAACGGGCACTATTGAAATTTAGTCAATGGACTCCTGCATCCAGATTTAGATGTTGATTCTACCATACAAGCAAGTGACGCTGCAACTAACTCCTCAGACTCCTTCTAGCCTATTGACAACCATGTCACATAATCATTAGCCACATGCTGCTTTTCGGTGCCACTAACTGCATCAAGATGCTGAGCAATTGCCAAAGCATCAACTAAAGTGTATGTAGTGGGTCCTATTTTATTCCTCACTCTAAAAAATTCTAATTGCCTTGCAAGCAAATAATAATAATAATAATAATAATAATAAAACCACAACCATATTACATGGTTACTAACGGGTCACGATTCAATCAATTGGGTTCAAAATGAATGGAGTTAAATAATTTAAAATAAATCCCCAACTGAGATTAAAGTATAAATTCAATTTGATTTAACTCGTTACACGGTGGTTCTACATGCACCAATTAGTATACTAACTAGTGTACCAACACTAATTATAACATTATTATTGACCTCACTCATTATGCAAATTACAAATACAAAAAACATCTTAAATTATGCCACATCATCAATTTGGTACATTAGTTAGTATACTAATTGGTACATATGGCATTATTCTATACATATCGGTATAGAAGGTGAGCATAAAGAAATTAGAGGTGCATTTAAAAGTAACCCCTAGTTTGGTTCTATTGTGCTGGGTCAATAATGAACAAGTTAAAATATATAAAGGAAAATTTAAAGTATACAAAAGAAAAAAAAAAACTAAAAACATATAATTGTGTTTTTATTATTTTTAAAAATCATCATATCAGACATATGTATGTAACTGTGTTCATAAATGTTGTCCCATCTATATGACGTTTTGCAAACATCCGCAATAACTTATAATCCGTGTTTTTATAAATATTTTAAAATTGAAACAGTTAATTTCAATTCATTATCATTACTGATATAGAAAATGTAAAACAAATAAAGAAATAATCTAAGCTGAATTTTTTTTTGAAAAAAATCACATTTTTTGTTAGGTGACCAAATCTCATCATTGTCCAAAACGTTATACATATTGAGGTTGCTTATTCTGTCCTTGCCCTAACTTGGTTTGAGACATACTAACTCCATACCAATTAGACAATAGAAAGCCATTTTGTAAATTTGAAACTATTTTTTAGATGGGTTGGACTTTTCTCAAACTTAAATATGGACTTGAGAATTATGTTTGGGCTCATAGGGCCCATCACAGGTCCTTTTTGATGATCTGAACTATTTATTTTGCAGGGTCCTATTTGTATATTATTCATGAAAAAAAATTAGGTCAATTCAATAATCTTAATATTTTTATTTAATTGTATTTGTCTTTACAAAAATGAACGATAATAATATTTCCAAAAATAGCTCATCTATTTTTTCAAAGACAAACGCAATAAAATAAAATGAATAAATTACACTTTGCACCAAATTTTACTTTGGTCCCTACACATGAAATCATGACAGTCAACCCCCTCTACTTTTGGTTAAATCTCACTTTTGTCCCTACACATGAAATTGTGACAGTCAACCCCTTGTGTTTTTGGTCAAATCTCACTTTGATTGTTACACACAAGTCTCAATGTCCCATTTCTATTACTCAATTGTTTAAATTTTTAACATAATCTAATCATGTGACAATAATGTAACTACGACATGAGGGTAACAGAGGAAAATTATCAACATTTTCCACTAATACACACTTTGTCCCAAAATTTACATCAAATTATAATTGTATTAGGCTAAAACAAAATGCAGATTATGAACTATTAAGAAGAAGAACTAGAGTTTTGCATAAATTAGAATCACGAAACTCTGTTTTTCCCAGTAACACAATCTTCTGTCTATTCATCTTCCTTTCTCTTTGATTTCTTTATCGCATTTTTTTTTATATTTGCAAAAGCTCTATTTTCTTACCTCATCTCAATTTTTAGCATACGAATATATACATAAATATTGTATTATATAACTCTCATGTGCTTATCACGTAGGACAAATTATATTGGTAGGAAACATGGATAATTTTTCTCTGTTATCCTCATTTCGTAGTAACATTTTTGTCACATGATTAGATTTTGTCAAAAATTAAAAAAATGAAGTAACAGAAGAGAGAGATTGACACCAGTGTAAGGATCAAAGTGGGATTCGAGCAAAAGTATAGGAGGTTGACTGTCACAATTTCATGTGTAGGGACCAAAGTGAGATTTGATCAGGAGTGTAGGGGGTTGACCATCATAATTTCATCTGTAGAGGCCAAAATAGGATTTGATGCAAAGTGTAATTTACCTAATAAAAATGTTACGAACACAAATGTGAAATTTAGATTTCAACTTCAAAAAAATATTAGCATTTAAAAAAAAGTAAATTATTATCACAATCTTAATATTTGTGAATCTTTATTACTAGTTGCCAAAAACTTAAATTGGGTGAGTGGACGTGACGTGTCTATACAAATGTTTAGTTGTGATTTTGTATCTCAAAAATTTAAAATTATTATATTAGACAAAAATATATGCATTTGTGTTAAATGTCATTATTTTTATAATGTTTAACCAACGACTACAGTCACTTATATTTTTATAATATTTTTATAAATGTTGTTAAATTTACAGCTAATTGCGATCCCTCATCATTACCGGCATAAAAAATGTAATAATAAATAATCTAAATTGAATTTTTTTAAAAATCATTATTTTTTGCCTAATGACTAAATCTTATCATCATCACAAACTTCATGCATGTTAAGCATGCATATTACATCCTCGTTCTAATGTGATTTAAAACATATTATCTCTATCTCAATTAGACAATAAAAACCGATTTCGTAAACTTAAGAAAAAAGAAAAATCCATGAGGCACTTTTCAAAACATTTTTCCAAGGAATTTTACTAAATTTAAAATTATTTTATTTATATATACATATATATATATATATATATTTGATTAGACAATCTCACAATATTAATGAGTTTTTACTGACATTTATGACCAAATCTTAAATGGCATACCTTTTTGGTTGAAAAAGCAAGGTAGAGAAGCACTGGCGAATGTGTAAATATACAATGTAAGAATAGTCATTTCAATCCAACCGAACCCAATCCAGCCCAAATGAGGCTCCTAAGATGATGAGTAGCAACATAACCAGAGGAGAAGATAAAGAGGAAGACGAAGAGGGAGATCGAGTCTAAAAAATTCCTTGGATGAAATCAGTGAATAAGTGATTTTACCAGGGTATTGATACGAATCTCTACATATATGTACTTGATTTCTTTGATTGTGATTGGTTTTTGATACTTTTTTTTTTTGTTGCTGAAATTGAACTAGATCATTCCAAGGGTCAATTACTTAAAGACGATCGAGATCGATGGTCTTGCTTGCGATTTGTATCATAAGCCCATCGATGAAGCTGCACATCCAATTGTTCTTCTAGGCTGGTAATTCCGTTTGCCTCTCAATTTTGATTCAATTGTGTTTTTTCTCATATATTTTCTTTTTCATTTTTATGTGTCTTAACAATTCTGGATTGACTAGTAGGACTCCAATCTGAAAAGAGGCAAATGGACAAAGAATTTTGGATGGCTATGAATTCAAGTTAAGCATCCAAGTAAAAGCTACATTCACTTGGAAAAAAGCAAACCACACTCCAAATCTTTCTCCTCAGTCTTCTGGACTATTGAAGTATTCACATTGGATGTGTTAAAAATATTTGTTAAAGTGTGTTATATGACAAAAAGTCATAAATTCAAAATTTTTCTCTTAGACCATTCACATTGTACGTGTTAAAAAATTGATTGTTAAAGTGTGTTATATGACAAAAAGCTATAAATGTGAGATTTCTATTAAATTTTTTAGTCTATGGGTCCTCCAACAGAGTTGTATTCTCTGACTTATGTATTCAAAGTTTGTGTTCTCTTGTATCTAATTCATTATCTTGAGCATCACAGTACTAGATGTGTTAAAAATGTTTGTTTAAAAAAAAAAAAAAAACTGATAAAAGTTAGATTCAATTTTGTGTCTTGTTTGTTAAATTATTGGCTGTGTGGGTGTTCCAATGTTGATAGTAAAACTGTGGTTAATTAGTGGGTGCACATAATTGTCCCGATGCTTGGCAATCATAATTTGGTTGTTATGGCCAGTTTATTTATTTATTTTTTGCTTTTGGTTGGTTTCTCGTCAACAGTTAAGTGTTTGCATATGATTTTTCTTTGAGTTAATGTAACGATGTAGTTAAGTTATGTTCCTTAAGTTGTTGTTTTATATTTTTATATTTTTTTTTTAGCAAGAAAAATATTTATTGATGAAAATTTAATGTGAAAAACCTAAGTGATTTGTAATTGGATCAAGATTTAATTGTTCCAATTCCTAACCGATTAAAACTCACAATCTAAATCATCAAGCACGTACGAAAGTGATTTAGATTGTTGTTTCAGAAACATTAAATCGATACAAACGATTTTTACGTGGAAAAATCACAATTGAAGCACCTTCAATTGTGCTAAAAAAATCACGGGCAAAATGCCACAAATCAATCCATTGCTGAAGAAAGAAAGATTACAAAGATACCAAACAAGTTACCCAAACGATTCCAATTTGTCTTCAAATCTTTTGTATGTCTTTCACCACAACCTTCGTCTCGGAATTCATTAGATTGATGTTGAATCCACAACGTCTACTGTCGAATCACCAACTGCACACAACATCAAACTCCTTTGATTACTTTGTGCTTGAATATTCAGATCCCACCGAAGAAGAATACTCTCAAAGAAGATCAAACAAACTCCTTGATGTGTGCTTATAAGAACATGAGTTCAAACTCAATCGAACATCAAGGAAAACCAAAAAAATATCTCCAAAAGAAAACCCTAAAACCCTTAAAGAAGATCTTGAAAACTTAATCCTAGATTTGGAGCAACTTGAGGTTTTATAGAGGCTGAGATCACGAGGTTTGCTCGAGCATGGGAATGGACGCTCGAGTGGGAACTCTATATCGCGTGTTTGAAGCCAGGGTTCACGCTCGAGCGGAAAATCCCATGCTCGAGCATAAAAACACACCACTCAGTATATTTTGCAGACGAGCAAAATACTGTGAGAGTGGAATCTCCGCTCGAGTGCCACTTCACCCGTTCGAGCGGGAAGACCAAAAATAAGAAAATTACAACTCAATTTTAAACCCAAGTTTGTCCATGGAATTTGACAGAAAGTAAGGTCCTAACAATCTCCCTCTTTGTCAAATCCCAGACAAAACCAATCTATATAATTTTCCTAACAAACAAACTGAAAAACAAACTAACACACACAATCAACAACCTCAACTTTTAAACAAAACCACTAAAAAAAACCGCAAGAGCTAAATGCTACGAACATGAAACACGCAATCCTTGAACAATCCACCTGTGAAAATAACCATACAAACCAAAACTATGGAACTGGATAAATAGCCATATATATATATATATATATCTAAACAAAAGTAACCAAATACCCAAAAATAATTACCATCAAAAAATAATAACCTAGCCATGCATGCATCAAGTATCATCAAGTATCTCTAACATCCACTCCCTTTTTTTGTTTGGGAGGAAAATAAACAAGAGATATCAGTGTACAAAAGGAAAACGAGCTAATAAAAATAGAGATCACTGAGCTGGAGGCTGTGGAGGTGACTGTATCTATAGAAGACACAAGATTTGAGACAGAAGAGAAGAGGACTGTGCAACGGACTCCTCAATGCGCCTGGAAGAGGCCTCCAATGATGTGAGCCGAGCATCGGTAGTAGTCTCAAGATTAGTAAGCCTGGCCTCGAAGATATCCATCCGGTCCTACTAACGATCAAAATGAGAGACCAGGGACTGCTCAAACTGATGAAGCTGGCCTCGAATAGTACGGACTAGAGGTAAATGCTCCCCCTCACCAGTAGCCTCTCCTGCAGCAGCCACATTATACTCTACCTTCTCAGCCATAGCTGCATCCCCTGCGCCTGTGCTTGAACTACTGTAGACGTCCCTGAACGTCCCGGGGGGAAATCCCCGTTCTGTTCAAGTTAGGCTCACTACAGTTCAGGACTAAAATGTCACGGTCCGGTATCTAATCTCGCAGAGTGCAATGCAAGACCGATGAATCATCAAAGAGTCCAAATCCGGCAAATCATTTTTGAAAACAGATTGTTTGAAAGAAGTGCCAAACATGGACTGCTTTGCCAGATACAGAGTCCCCACCTAAATATTTTATTTTGGGGAATTTAGGAAACCCTGACTCGTTTGTCTAAGGCCACGTGTCCATCATCACTAAAGTTGCCTCGGCTCGGGAACTTGGGTACGATTGAGGAAGGTCACTCCGTGAGCACCCCCGCTCGCCCGATCAAAGATCAGCCTCTACTAACCATGATATCGAGTTTTGAAAACATTATACGCTCTTATTCCGGTTTTTAGCCTAGAATTACTATGTGGTGCACACAGCATACAAGTATAGACTGGATTGCCTAATTTGGAACAAAGCATCGCATATTTGTTTGTTTTGAAAATGGATTGAAGTTTGCTACTCGCAAGTAGGCTAAAACACAGGTTTCAACGAATTATTCTAACCTAAGCAACCTCACCTTCACCCACAGGCATTCAGGCAGGTATATCATATAAGCACATAGCCTCATGGTAAGCATGCTATCATGGCAGTCACTCACACGCATGCAAGGATGCTAAAGCATAAATGCTTATCGAGTACTCCAAGCCAAAGAAATAAGCTAATTAGAAATCATGCATGAATCCTAACTATGCTGAAATGCCTAATGCAACACATGCAGGATGCAACTATAGTAGGCTTGGCTATTCTAAGATGGCATATGATGATGCTACAACTAACAAGTATTCAACTTGGAATTGAAACACAATGCAGTTAGTATGATGCGCCGAGCCCGGTGCGTGCAAAACAAATGAATGGATGCAAACATGCGAGCATAAGTATGCTAATTGAAACATGCCCTAATCTAACAATCATAAGTTGGTAAATAAAAGGGAGAAAGACGTAGGGTTGGAAGACATACATCACACACACGCACACTTATTACAATTGTGCCCTCGCTCGGAGGGTCCGAATAAATAATAGAGTCTGAATAAATAACTGCTACAGCTAATTATTACACAACATTAACTAATTAACAAACTAGCTAAGTAAGCATGTAAACTACATGAATGTGACCGGCTCGGCTCTATTTTGGGTGACGATGGATGCATGCATGCTCGAGTCGCCTCGTCGGGAAATTCCATCGCGATGCCTTGTCTCGCCTTTGTTTGCAACTGATTTAAGAAACTTGCACAAAGCTCCAGAAGGCTAAAACCCCACCTTAGGAAGGCTGCCGACCAGGTATTGGCTTGGGAGACACCGGCCGACCACCCTTTGTGGTGGATACCAAAAAAGGTGGTCGGCCTGCCAGAAAACCTGGTTGGCCGACCACTTTCCGCCCCTGGATCCTAGTTTTCTGCAATACAAAGCAAGAGAGAGACATGGCAAGGTATTTTCAAAAAATGTGTGCACGACCACACTCCCCATCCTTGCACAAGCTCAAGGGAGTGTAGACCTCGATCCTCGTGCCACCAATCACGCATCTCGATGCATGATGGCTGAGGAGTCGAATTGTACGACTCGATGTGAAATGAATGCATGTATAAACACAACAAGGCCTAGACTCCATCATGGTTAATCCGGAGTGTCGGCAACCGGGAATTGAGACACGTTTCGTCTCTTAGAGTACGAAATGTCCCTCATTTCCTGTGGTTGGGCTAACTCCTATCCCAAACACAATGCAAATGAGATGGCATACACAATGTGACTAACATGTATCCTAGCATACGCAATGCTATGGACTAAGATGGCATACACAATGCACGTGATGTAACATGGCATACACAATGCTCTAACATGCGACCTAGCATACGTAAAGGCTATGGACTAAAATGGCATACACAATGCATGATGGACTTACATCAACATGAGTGGACCTCAGCCACACTCACATCAGTGGCCATTAGATGAAAATGAGACAACCAAAATACGTGCACACATGCACGAATACCAAGGATCGAACCTAAGGCATCAAATGCCACTCTACCAAAGCATGGCAAGGTATGAAAGATGGCATACAAACATGCAATTTCCAGTACTGAAATATGATGCACAATCGTCTCGAATCATGGAAATATGGCAACCAATGCATGAAAGAGGCCCCGAAACTCAAAACTAGGCAAATGCATTGAACTAAAATCATGCAAAGCAAGCATTATTTGATCATGAAGTGCAAAACAGAGCCAAGACAGTCCCAAAATATGCGCAACATTAGTTCAAAGCATGGCCAAAGAGTGCTAACATGAAGGGCTAAAACAACATGCAACTTAGGCTAGTAAGCATGGTTTACACTACATGTATATGAAGCACGAGAGAGGTCATCAAACCAGCTAAAAATAGTAACATGGAATGTCAAATAAATCCCAAAAACCCACTGAAATGAGGTCCATGCATGCAAGAATAGTGTGTTCCTTTGAAAGGCCACAAGAGGGGTTACTCTACAGATGCACCAAGGACACTTAGCATAGCAAAACCAACTCTAAAAATGAGTTATGGGGGTCCTAAAACCCACTGAAAAATGCTGGAAATGAATCTTGGAAGCTTGCAAATAGGGGGTCCTTTGGAAGGCTAAAAAGGCCAACAAACAAGACAAGGAGAGAGGGGGTCACCCCCCCTCTGATTTTAGCTCTCAAAAGTACATCTAAGCCACTAAAAATCCACTGGATTTCAGTGGCTAAGAGGCCAAACCAAAGCCAATGCAAATGCTCTAATGCATAGCCCTAATCATGAGGAAATGAAGCATGCAAAGGGGAAGATGACCCCAAACATAAAAATGCCCTTAATCAAACTTCAAGAGGGGCTCAAAATAAGACTTTTTTTAGTTCATGGAAAATCTCGAAAATGCTTGCAAATAAGGCTAACATATCATGCAA